AAACAGGGCTGTCCTTTCCTTGGGTTATTAGTCTCAGAACATGGTTCTGCCTTGGGTGGGGGCGGGGGGGGAGGGGGAATGGGAAGAGTTCTCCGCTGTCACACGGAAGTGTTGAACCAACCAATTTAGGGGTCACAAATTTATTTTCATTGTTAATTACTTTGTTAAATCAACTTAAGGGTCCATTTGGCATGACGGATTCTTTTGTTTTTGCTTTCGATAGAGGAGTACTTCTTGAAAATGGCACCTTAAATTGATAACTAATTTTTAAAAGAGTTTTCTGTTTGTAAAGTACTTTTAGAGAATGTCACGTTAAATCAACTTCCTCTAAAAGTTCTTTTAATTAGAAGGATCATTTTAAGAAAATTAGTCAAATGAGCTCAAAAATAATTTTGGAGCCTCAAAAATTCATTCTGACTTTTCAAAAATCATGTCAAATTGGTCCTTATTATAATTAACACATGAATCATAACGTTAAAATGTAACAGATCGCTTAACGTGTCGCTATTTAGTTGAGGGTTAATTTCAATTTTGGTCACTAAGAGTTTGTTTCCTTTACTATTTTCAGGTTATTTTCAATTTTCAATTTTTGAAAACATTGAAAACACGTTTACTTACCTATTTTTAGAAATGAATTTCCAAAAACGAGTTTAAAATTTACAAAGAAAACGAAAAACGTTAAAAAAAAATAATAATAAAAAAAAATCGTTTTGACTGTTTTCAGTTAAAATCAAGCCAAAACTTCATTTTTTTTATTTTTGAAAATAATTTTTCAAAATGACAAAAAAAACCCGTTTTCAGCAATATCAAAATGGACACTCAAAACACAAAATTCAATATGAATTCAAAACTGAAATACAAAGAGAACAACCCCTAAAATTTTCAGAATTAAGAGAGTGTTTGACACCCATTTTTTGGATAATAGAATTTTTGAAATAATGATTGATGAGAGAATGTGTAGTGGAAAAGTTATGAAACTTTTTAGATTTGGGAGAATGTGTAGTTGAAATGAA